GTGAGATTGGCATTTTGCCACTTCAAACAGCTCTCAGATGCCATGTCAGAATGCTTTGGGGAACGACTTGTTTTGTCGTGTTCCCCTAACTATCATCACATACACACGCACACACTCTCTTTGAGATCAGGCCGAGTACAGCGCGCGTACTAGCAGCATGAGCTTCGGAGAGCTTGTCTCCCACGTGCTGCGATTGAAGGCACCTTCACGATCCGCGCTTTTCTTGAAAGGACTTTACCATTGGTATCCTTTGGCTTCTGATTATTTATATTATATAATTGTTCTCTGCCCAATTACAGTATATTGCTTTTTTGATCAACCATGGCTGATGACCTTGAACCGGGAGGGTGGAAATGGTGCACAAGTTACAGATATTGCGGATTTACGAAAGCAACCTGGCAGCAAATTGGGGAGGCCAAATGTGCTTCCATAGAATTGGATGAGACAAAGCTTGTTTCCTTTCTTATTTGAGATTACAGGAACTTGCACATCGGATCGGATGTCGTTCGAGGTGCGTAAGGCAGATAGAGACTCGGCTTGAAAATTCAGGCGAGGCTGACTTCCGCACAAGCAGCTTCTGAAGACAACAATAGTTTCGGCAGGTATGCTGGATGAGAGGTTTGCAAGTGCAAAGCCACCTGCAGTGGAGTCCATCAAGGCACACATCTCAATGGGAAATCTTGACTCAATCGTCAGCCATGGGTGCTAAATTTCATGCACTTGAAGACACTGGTGCTGGAGGTTCACATAGTCCGGGCTAGAGGCTTGCGAAATGCGGATGTTGTTTCTCTGACAGGCCCGTGGTGTAGTGTCAGTGTCTGATGTGAACTTGGCCTCAGATCAATAAGCGGGTTCAAACAAGAAAATTCAGAGAGGAAGCCAGGTTTTCCTTGTTTTGCAGGCAGATCAGACGTCTACTGCAAATGCCACGGGCCCTAAAGTGGGGTGATCTCTCCAGCGCAAGACATTCAGCAGAAAAGGCAGATTGATCTTGAGAAGAGGAATTCTATAAACAGAACAACAAATAGGAAGGTAAAGGCCTCGTAGTAAGAGTGATGTGAAAGGTAACAAAGGGGACGCGACTGTTGGCCCATCCACCCAGCCCCCCCCAGCCTCCCCTCCTCATGCTCGTGCGGGTGGCGCAGATGAGCTGCTGACAGATGAGCAGCTTCAAAAACCTCTATGATGAAAAGTGGACAAACTGTAATCTCACATTCTTTCGCGAAAGCCAAAACGCAGGTCGCGAAAGGTTCGCGAAAGCCACGCGAAAGCTCCCCAGAAGAACAGCGTCGCGAAAGCTTTCGCGAAAGTCAAATTTTTTTATTGTACATGTGGGCGACCATGTTTTTATGTAGGCAGCCGCAACAGACCAGCCGGCAGCAGCGGCAGCAGCAGCAGCAGCAGCACTGAAGAGTAAGTGTTTCAGGGGAAAATCGAAAAACCCAGACGAATTTCCGCGAAAGCCGTGCGAAAGCCTCGCGAAAGTCGAAAATCTCCGGGAAAGGTCCCAAGTAAGAACGTTTCCGTAAAACGCATCGGGCCCCAGCAAAAAAGTGTCCGCAAAAAACGCAATCCCCGCAAACTAAAACGTCGCAAGCTGCAAAGACTGAAAGGCCCCAAGTCTGAGTAAAGTGAACGGTGCTGCTACAACTCCTTGTGCCAGGGTGTTGCCGTAAAGAAATTTGCTCAGTTCTGACCACCCTAAGGACACTTATATAGGATAACTTAGATCAATCACTTTATTAATATCCCAATCGCATTTCCCAATCGAAAACGAATCGGCGCGAAAGCCGCCGCGAAAGCCCCACACAACACCACACCTTCCGCGAAAGCCAAAATGCAGGCCGCGAAAGCTCCGCGAAAACTCTGCGAAAGCAAACCTGGATTATACAAAAAGTAATAGGCCTTTCGAAGCTGCTCAGATGACCTCTACCATTTTTGAATATTTAATTGTTTTTTGTGTTAATTAAAGCCTAGCACGGGTCGGAGGCCATCGCTATTAGGTTGGAGGCCGTTGAAGAGTAAATGAAGAGTAAAAAGAGTGTGTTAATGAAGCAAAAGGGCCAGTGTCGCAGATGACCCCTGTGTTGGTTTCGCAGATGGCCCCGGTGTTGGTGTCGCAGATGACACCGTCCCTGGTGCGCAGATGACCCCTCTATGAATGTCGCATATGACTCATATGACCTCCTTTCCCTTTAATTACAAGGGCTTAAAGGGGGCCTTATTAAATCTAAAGAGGCCCTTGCCTTCGGTTTCCTTACTATTAATCCTTTTTCGTAAGGCTCTTTGTTCTCTTAGGCGTGGTACTTGGAAAGCCTCGCACAGGAGTTACCACGAAAGTCGTCAAGGCAAGTGCCTGAGTTGTGCAAACAAGTGGGTGGTAAGCCTTTTGAGGACTTGCTTTGGCAACTGTGACAAGTTGCTTAGGACAATCAAGCTCCAACTTGGGACGAGGAGAGCTGAGCACGAACTGTACGCTAGTTAGATGGCAGCAAACAATATCATAATGTTGCCATTAGATTGGAGGCTATCGCCGTTAGGTTGGAGGCCATTGCTTCTAGGTTTGAGGCCATTGCTTGTAGGTTGGAGGCTATCGCTAGTTGTTTTCCTCGATATCCACCTCAAAGCCGTGGAAACCCAGCGCGACCCTGAGGAGTTCGTTCTAGCAGACTATCAAGCAGGGGAACACTTGCGCTTTCAGCTGTTTGACCAAGATCTTCCATTCATCAAGGACCGCTGCTTGCAAGAGTATTCTGTTTTTTGTACTTTGTATATACCATTAAACACACGATAATATAGGAGTTTCAGGAGACGCAATTGACAGCGTTCAACAAGCGAGACAGTAGCAACTAGTTTCCGCCAAGTTCATCCCAGATTTAAACATGATTTAATCGGGGGACTTTGGGTCTTAAAGTTGTTGCAGGAGGATGATTACCTTGGTTCAGTGGTGCTTGAAAGCAATCGGTTTTGTCCACAGGCTTGAGTTCTGATACGTGTTATTTGAAGACTGATTTCAGTTTCAGCGCTTCAATCAAACTCATGTCAAAATCACCAACAGAGAATGCTTTGGACTCTGCAGGGATTTCAGGGAGAGCTGCGCCTCACAGGAGGGGGAAAGGGCTGCTTGGCCAAGAATTAGAATGTTTTTCTTTTTTTCTCCCGCTATATACACTCTTCTTATTTTTCACTCGACGCCACTTTAACTTTGATGTTGGATTGTTTGCAGGAGACATAAGAAAGTCCATTTGGGATGATCTAATCATGCATTCTTAGACGGACAGCGCACACTGTTTGCGTCGCCAGTTTTGGTGCTGTTTCTTTCGCACTTTGAGTTGGCTGGGACCGTGGCTGGGATGGCTGAGGTATTGAGGCGTATCTTGAAGTGAAGGTTGGAGAAGCAGTTGGCCTGTGTAGGGCAGGGTTGATGTTTTGATCAGTGAAACGTTTTTTTGTTTGTGGTCAGGTCACCGTGAAGCTGCTTCCGGCGCATACCTTGGCCAGAGAAATATACGAGAGGTCATATAGAGCGGAGAGAACTAATGGCCTCCACCTAATGGCGTCCTTTGTTACTAGTAGCTTCTTGTTACTAGTAGTACGGCCAGGAAGCCCCTAGTAGCCTCCTTGCTCCTAGTAGCGAGGCCAGGAGCCCCTAGTAGCGTCCCTCGTTGTGGTCCAAGGAGCCTGAACATGAAGTGTTTGAAGATAAGCCACGGTCTTCAGAATCGACGACAAGCGTTGCCTCAAATGACAGTGGAGGCACACTCAAACCTTGAGTCGCATCGCTCCATGGTGAATCGACTTACTTGATGCTAATCGAACCTAATGATAGGAGCTTGGAAGATGTGATGTACTTGAGCTGTCAGACTCTTCAGGTGCTTCAACAATGGCGATGATTCTTGCACGATTGGATGACGTTTATGCAGGGCAGAAGAACCTTCAAGAGCAGCTCAAACGTCCCCTGGCTCCAAAAAGAGTAATTGAGTAACATGAAGTGTTCATAAACTTCAAGAACTGAATGCTCCCTGGATTGTGAGCGAACCATAGAAAACCATTTTCCGGAATCTCAAGATATCTAAGTCTGCTTGGGTTGCGCATGCATACCTTCGATCGACAGGAAGAGTGGTAGAAATGTATCATGTCCGATGTCCGCTTTTCCCTGCGCTGGAGCTACCATGCTGCGTAGGCGTTGAAGAGAGGTTGGACATTGTCGAGGTAGCAGCGACCTGGCGGAAGGATTTCTGTACATCCAGGTTTCGTTTGCACAAACAAAACCTTGCTTCCATGTGTTTCCTCCCTTAGCCTTCCAGTCCTGGAGGTGACGAGGACAGCAACCCCTGATCTTCGAGGATTCAGCTGATGCCACTAGATCTTCCTTTGGCAAATCAAGACACGACGAATGACGAATGCGCTGTTCGTGCATTTTTCGAACGGCGTGCGCGATCGCAGAAGGCTGCTTTCTTTAGCTTGTAGCACCAGCAGGCCCGACATCCCATCATGCAATGCAGGGAAGATTTGACTATTCCTCCCAAAGCTTTGAGAATTGAGCAATACAGCACGCTTTTCCGAAATAGAAATGCCGACATGATGTGTGAGCTTGAGCCTGACTCAGGGGGCCAGGGCTTGATGGTTTTGGAGCTGGCAATGCCACCCGATACACATTTTCAACAATAGAACTGGCAAGCAAATGGGCTAGCTTAACGCATTCTCAACACTGACCCAATGCGACTAAAGCTATCCTGGAATTCAAGCCTATTTTGGAGTTGCCAGCCAGAGCTGCGCTTGCTTTGCTAAGCTTTGCAAGTCGTGTGGCTTTCTTTGGCCCGAAGGGTTAGCTGACGTAGTGTCTGAGCGTCGACGTGGTTCTTTATTCTACCACTGTCTCACGTCAAAAAGCGGCTCAAGAACTCAAGCAGGAAACCGTCCATCGTCCAAACTCCCACAAATGATTGGGTGTTTGGGTGCTCGTCTTCCTCTTCCGTCAGTGAGCCTTGGAGACTAAGGTGCCTACACCAACGACGAAAGCTGAGGTCCCGGAATGTCTTTGTTTGTAGGATTTTATTGTGTGAAGCCTTACAAGTTCATTGTGACGCTCGAGTTCGATCGATTGTGCGTGTTGATCGACCCAACTATGACCCGTAGCAGTCTTGATGGAAGATGGCAGTTGATGGATCTAACATGATCTGACCGTACGTCCTCGTGCCATGCACTCCGTGTACAATCAATGACAATAGCTCTAACCTCAGGTGGAGTTGCCATGCAGCTTTCAGTGGCTGGACTGGAGGGTTGAACATGCGCAGTGCTGTACCTACAGGCAATGGCCTCCAACCTAGGAGAATAGAGCATTGGCAAGGCAACCATACTCTGCCACAGTGCCCCTCACTTTCGCTATCATTCGCTGTCAATCGGCCCGGACCTACTTTTTCATGTTTGCTTGTATTCTTGGCTCAAGTTCCGCCTCACCGATTGGCATTTTGCCAATGCTGGTGACGAGGACCTGCAACACATAATGTTCTGAAATGTACTCGTACTAAGAATATGCCAATTGGTGCTTCCCACGAGGCTTCCAGTTTCCATGCTTGAGTAATCAGTTCCTAGACCAGAATCAGCCAGGACCGCCAAAACAATGCAGCTGCTTAGCAGAGTTTTCAAGATATTGAATCTTAAGCTGAATTCCCAAGATGGCATTTGATGTCTTGCCTCGCTGGTCAACTATTGAATTACTGTACTGAGGTTCTTGCGCACACTTGGAAACTTGGCTACAAGATGCATTAAAAGGCATTGCACTTTGAAGTTTCTCACAACCAAGCTTCAGACATTCTCGTTCCTCCCGCCTTCCTGTACCGTGCTATGACCGTCTCGGTGTCTTTCACTTCGACTTTATCTGAGGCATACTTTGCCTTGCTTTCCATGATGCGGCTGCTGCAAAGATGAGCGAAAAACCGAGCGCAGAGACCTGAGCATTGGACTCTGCGTGTTTTTATGTGTTTTGCCTTCTGAATGCCAAGTACGCTTTGGTCGTTACTAGAAAGCTCTATTGTTACTAGTAGCGATGGCCTCCTAATAATCCTAATAGCCATGGCCTCCACCTAGTACCTTCTAGTTACTAGAAAGCTTTGCTTTCCATTCTTCTCTTCTTCTCCCACTTCTCCCATCTCTCTCCCTCTCTCTCTCTCTCAGATTAATATCGAGAGTCTGGCCGGCATCCATGACACACATTTGAGCAAGGCGGGAAAAGGCATTGAGTTTCATGCTCCCAATCTAAGTACGGGACATTCAGGCTCTTGCTTCAACTGCATCTGACCCTTCTTCCAAGCAGCTGGGTTCTGTGGCAGGCCGGGCATTGTAGGCTGTTGCAGCTTTGGTTTATTGGACTGTTGAAAAAACACCAGGGAAGCGCAGAAACAACTTGAACTTTGCAGCCAGGTGCACTGACACACTTGCTGAGTGCTGGCTCGGAGGCGAGGCTCCTAAACTCACAGACTCTGACTTGAAAATTGACTTATCTCCTGCTTTCTTTCAACAAAAACAGCTTCGAGGGAAGAGATGGTTTTCTTTTTAAGTTTTCATTTGCCACAGGGAACCAACAGCTCGGCAGTGGTAGATGCTATTCTGGAATTGGTCAATGTGACCATGAAGGGCAAGTTGTACACCGGACATGAGAAAAGTTGCTCAGATGCAAAGGAGATCTAGCCGTTGTCACGCTGTTCTCTAGATCTCCATGGATTTCTAGTTGCGTATGCATTTTGCATGCTGCTATGTCGATGTGGGATTAATCAACCCCCCTTCGAGGTCAACAAGGATTGAGATTGGAGGTATTGGAGACCAGATCCCCCTAATAAAGGTGATGACCTGATGATGGATGGTGGCTGATGGGATTCTGTTTGAACCATGAGGCCTGTGTGAGGGGGTGCCCCTTCTATATAACGAATTATTGAGCTAGAACTATTTTTATATTTTCTGGGGCAGACGGGCTTGATAGTTTTTATGTTTTTTACAAAAGCAGTTTTTTCTTAGAGGAATGTCAATGTGGAAATTTGGGTACTAAATTAGTTCATTGTTGGGTGCTCGAGATGGGCTTGATTGATTCTGGGAGGTTACTTAATCCCATGTCAACATTGTAGTTAAGCGGAATATTGAAAGATGCTAAACTTAAAGCAAGAGACACTACTGCAATCATAAATTGCATCAATAAGTCTTCCAAGAAATGCTCTTGAATGATCTCAACAGAGTATCGTTTGCTTGGTTTGCACTGCGCTCATGAGGCATGCAAAAGCTCACAGATGCAGAGCATGAGTTTGAAAAGTGCGTGAACCACTACAAGGCTAAACATCACTTTTTATTTTTCTGAATTTCTACCAATTGGCAGTGGTTCTGATTGTTTGAGCTTGCTTGTTTTATCAATTTCCAAGATTACTTCAGTTGACTCTTGCCTACTGGTGTCAGCACGGAAAGGCGGCAGACAAGGTGCGATTTCCGCCAGCTTCGTTGCTCGACTCAGAGTGATACAGTTCTTGCCAATTGCTTGGCGAGTCAGCTTTTGTACCTTTCATTTACCAGGCTCAATGAGATACGTAAAGGATCAACTATTGCAAAACTGTGCAATGCAAGGTTCTTGCAGGCCAACGTCACCAATGCCACTCCATGGTATGAGGCCATGTACGCGTACAAGAGTTCTTGTTTCGGCTGGTGTTTTGAAGTGTTGTACTTCGTGATGCTGAAAGGAGTACTTCGAGTCGTACCTTTGGTGCAAAAACTACGAGGCGAAGCTCTCCACCGAAGTGAATGAGTGTGTGCGGGCCCTTGGGAGCGCGGTGGGTGCAGAATAGCTCGACATCCAACGTGTAGTTTCATTGTAGTTTTGGCATATTTTGTAGGAAAACAGATTGAAACAAAGAATGCCCCAATCGGCTACAACTACATAGGACATATCGTCTCTCGCATCCGGCATGTTCAACTTCAGTCTCACCTGTTCCGTACTCTGCAATATTAAAGGAAGTGACAGTTTTGGATAGTTTTGGGTCCGTCAGATAGAAAAGGTCTTTGTGCAACAAACTCGCCACATGACTAGTGCAAAAGGCAACGTGTCGGCTTGGCATTGTTTGGCCAACACTAAGGACTACTACTGCCTCCAAGAGACGCAGACAGTCGATCAGAACTGCGTAGCTCTCGATGAGGACACTGTGATGTGACGCAGAAAATTCTGGACAAAGGCACTTGAGAATCTGTTTCAAGCGCAGTACTTGAAATCACGACTCTTTTGCTAGAGCCATGGCAGCCATGGCAGATTCATCATGCTTCCTGAGCCCCACAAACCATCACAGAGAGAGAGAGAGAGACACACATTGCAGTTTCTTGTCGAATGCTTTCAGCTTTCAGGAGTGCAATCAGATAGACTGTGCGCCAGTCACCCGCGAGGGCTACAGGGTGCGCCCATGGCCTTGTATTTGGCTGACAGGTGTTGGGAACTTGCCTACAATCATTGTTTGGTTGTGAAATCATATTGCGGGCTCCTTCACACTCTTGCTTTCCTACACTTTCCTCAATTGTAACCGGGATGCACACTTCTCACCAACAGTTGCTGCAGGCATTCCTGGAACGCATGGTCAACACACTGGAAGGCTACCTTGTGAAAGACACTTGGCGGAGCCAGTTTTGCAATAATTTTGCAAGACTTTGGGATACAAACCGGTTCACGTGGTGACGAGAGACAGCTTTGTCGTTTTTGTCAGAAACAGCCACTCACGGCCAGCTCAAGTTTCTGTCAGTACTTGCCACTGAATTGGTGCGCTTTTTGCCTTTTGGCTGTTTGCATGTTTGGGGACTAAGAACACAAACTGGACCTTCAACAACTCGCACAAGTGCTAAGCTCAGAAGAGCCGCAGAGTCATATAGACAGTCGCCGCAGTCGCCTGTCAGGATGGAACATTGGGATATCCTAAGCGAGGAAACAACGAACTTTAGAAACACCAATCAGACCTACAAGACCTACATGCTAAGTCTTACTGGAAGTCTTCTTAAGTCTTCACAAGAAGGTAAGAGAACGAAGAATCCAACGACGGAAACAGGAAAGGTCGCAATGGCTTAAGTCGGGTAAGTACTCCAAAAATGCAGGAGCGTGTTAAAGAGCGAGTTTCTTCAAGGGAGCCTCTTGTCCGGATGCGCCTACTCGCTTCATGTCCTGTTTCGCCCTTAGTAGCTTACTACTCACCATGCTTACTCTGAGCCGATGCCCCTTGCCCACCCTCCCCCCAAGGCAGCACAATGGTGTAGAAATTATATACATGAACTTACTAGGTAACAACCTATTTACTTTTAACTTATATAATAATGTTTCAGTACTAGGTTGGAGGCCATCGTTTCTAGGTTGGAGGCCAAAACCTTTTTGGGTTGGAGGCCATCGCTACTAGGTTCACCCCAGAACTGCACTGGGTTTCGCTATACTTGCCTTGGCCGGGCTTGGGCCAGGTGCACCGATATCATGGGCGAGGTTGAAACGTGCTATAGGACTTGCTTTTGCTCTTGTGCTATACTGAGCGGTTTGACTTTTAAAGGAAACGTACATTATCTATTTCAAATAGTACTGGGTAGTAGAACAGTAATGCTTGTGCTTATTGATTTCCTGAAGTAGTGTTTTCAGTTTGTTGTCAGATGATGTCAGATGCCTTTGATGATTATTGTCCCGTCTGTCCCTTCGGCGAGCGCTTGTCACCCGCTAGCTGATGCAGGGTCCCCTCAGAAGAACATTTGGTGGGGATTCATTTAGGTTGGAGGCCATCGCTAGTAGGTTGGAGGCATTCTGTGGAGAACTCGGCCATGTCTTTGAACACATAGTTTTCACATGTTTTCACTAATTGTACTGCTGAGCAGTGCCTAGTCCTCAATCTTGGAACGGCACATTGCAGGAAATGCGACAATATTACCACCGTGGTTAAGCCGCAGTCAGAGCTGCTTGGCAAGACTCGATAGCACTAGAGAACGAGGGCATCCAAAGCTAGTCTTCCCTTGCTTTGCACTTCTTAACGCACCTTTTCATGTCTCCTGACATGTCAAAACATGCTAGGACAGTCTTGGCCGGCTGTTGTGCTCCCCGGGCAACAGCGGAATCGGGCAAGTGCAATGAGTTGAAGTCCAGAAGGCCGCTGCACGGACGCCGCGCAGTTTTGTCAAGTAAACTTTGAACAGGAGAATTATGTGAAACATGCAAGCAGGCTGCTCACAAAGGAAACAAGTCGGTTCAAGAAGGCAACAACAATATGTAAAAGGAATCAAAATC